TATATTTAATTCATGCCATCTTTTTTAGTCAAGAGCAAATTTCAAGTGGAAAGCCATGTTTGGATGCAAGACATTACAAGTCATTTTTGAAGAAAAACTTATAAATTCTCTAAGTATAGAAAGTCAACCTTTTTTATCAACTTTGAATCATTAAATTTTTTAGCTCAAGCATCCATTTTATCTCATTATTTGCACATTGTAAAGTTTGTAATCTCATTTTTTCAATGCAACAAGAACCAAGTCTTGAGATGCCCTGAATCATGCACACCATTGATTTGAATTTGGTAACTTGAAACTGAAGTTTCACCACAAGTCAGAATTTAAAGTTCATGTTGTAGCTTCTAAACATCAAATTAGCACGCGTTTTTGGTCTAAATATGTTTAACCAACTTGCCAAAGTGGATTAGAGTCTTAAAACGCAAGGATTGGATGAGTTTTGATGCAAAACAAATCACACTTTGCTCGTGTATCAGGTTCACACGATTTCCCTCCAAACTTCATCATTTCACACGCTTGAGCATCCCATTTTATTACCTATAAATAAAGGGTTATCCCTCATTCATTTCCTCAAGCTTAGAAATCCAGAATCACCATGCCAAACTCTCTCTTGAACTCAATTTTCTGTAACTTCGAATTTGTTCTTACAGCTTTTCTCAATCATTTTTCTTTGTCAATTCACCTTCCTTGAACCTCACTAAAGCTAACAGAAGAAGAATTAAGCTCTAAAACTCCCTGAATCGTGCTAGCCAAGTCCAGCTTCAGAGCTTTGCAACTTAACTTCAATAGGTAGATTCCTTCACCAATTCTCTCAAACTTTGATACTATTGTGAAGCTCTCATCATCCTGGTCCTACTCACAACACTTGTTTTTAACTAGAAGCACATTTTGACAATGAAATTTCAAATCCCTTTTCAAAACTTCTCTTCCAAATTGTTTGAGCTACAATTTATATAAATTTTTCGCGAAGGTGTGGTTGTCTTCGTCTTGATGAGACAGAGCGAATGTCATAGGTCTGAGCTTCTGATTTTACAGTTTGAGGGACTTGTGTTTCACGTTGGCTGGAGGTTGAAGATGACCAATGTGTCATCTTCCAACCAATGATAGCGTGCCATTTGTTTTTTTTTGAAAATCTGATTTTATATGTGATTCAGTGCTTTATTCAATAATGACCATGATATGCACAACGCGTCTGATCCATTGGATTAGCTTACTAACGTGTTTTGACTCTCATCCATTGGTCCACATTTTTTGACTTTATTTTATTTTCTGATTTTTATATTTAAATTGTTTTAAACTTCAAAAATTCATAGAAAATTCATTTTTACTCCAAAAAATCTAAAAAAATTTATGGAAAATACTTTTGATTTTTCTCTTTCTGATTCTTATTTTTTCACAATTTTATTTTGTGTTTTGGTATTTTTTATTATTTTTCACTTTATTTGAGTTGTTTTAAATGTTTAAAAATACTTTTCTTCATTTTTAAATTCTGAAAAAAATAGGGAAGGATCCAATGACATTTTGACAGATATTGGTGGCCTCATTTATTTTTTATTTATGACTTTGTTATTTTTTTAAAATCATTTTTGGTTTATTTTACCTACTTTTAATTTTAAAAATAGTTTGTGACTTTAAAAAATTACCAAAATTTTTATAAATATTTGAACTCATTCCTGATTTTTCTATGGCCTTACCTATTTTTTCTTGATTAATTTGAATATAGTTGCTAATTTTCTCTCTTATTTCTATTTTATAATCATTTTAAAAACCTTTTTTCTTTTATTTTAAACATAATTTTATTTTGTATACATTTTGGCTGATCTTGGATTAAAATTTTGATCATGAACTTTATTAGCATCATTGGATCCATGGTGTTGAGTCTAACTCCATAAAAATGGATGAATGATTTTAATAATAGTTTGATTAAATTTTTGGTTCAAATATGGTTTATTCATTTCCCCTTCCCTCTTCATCTTATCCCATTCTTATTGAACCAAATGTTATTAGAGCATGATTTACATATCATGTCTCAAAATATGAGGTGCATAGATTGCTATTGACCGACCTTAAAATAGGTGCAACTTCTATATAAGTCCACTTACGATTGCTTAACATAGTGCTAAATTTTGTCCCGATTTGAGAAAATGATCACTCGTGGCCCAAACCTATGTTTGCAAGCCCAAGTATGTTAATTTGAACCCTTTGATCCAATAACCTTGAGATCCATTGTTAGGAGGCCTTGGTTCTATCAATCCTCTAATGGAACTTCATCAATTTTGGTCAAAGTGGATCACTTAAACATCATTGATCATTAAGTGTTATCTTGAGAATTCTTAAATGGATGATATACTTGACAAAAAGCAAATGCAACTTGTTGTTGAGAGGCTTTGGTCCTACCAATCCTCTAATGAGTTCCAAAATGCAAGTTTCAAGATGGTCATCCAACTAATTACTAATTCCTAACAATTGACTTTATTTTTATGCTTTTACTTTATGTACCATTTACTTTAGCATTTACATTTCATGCTATTTTTATCTTTTCTCACTTGGGCCTTTATCTTCATGTCATTTTTATTTTTCTCACTTGAGTTTCTCATTTTCTTTTTGAAGATACCTAATAATCAACTTGAACCCAAAAAGTTTTAATGTTACTTGGACTACTTGGTTATTATCCTTGGCATTATGGAGTGGTGGACTTCTTGGACTTAGGATTAGAAGCTGCGGCCCATCTTGAGCCTTTGTGACCTTGATTGTTATTTTGTCTGGAGTTCTTGGGGTTTACCCCAGGACATTGGGTTATTTGTTTGCTTTGTGTGCAGGTTATTGTGATTACACACTTTGTTTGTAATCTGAAATTCATCTGTGTACAACTGTTACTCTGCCCAATTTTTGTGAAGACTTAATGCAATTAAAGCTTGGTATTCTTAAGAGGTTTATCAATTATTTTCTTGGTTTCAAATCCAAAGAATGGAATTCTACATTGACTCATTATTTCAAGTGTTGGCTTCTTATTTGGTTAAATGGCTCTTCTCCTTAGATTTTACCTTATGTTTTAGGGTAGTCTCTTCATCTCTTCCCATCCTCTTTAATTTCAAAAATCTTCCCCCTCCTTTTGAAAAATCTTCTTGTTTTAAAACTTCAACCACATTCATAATAAACTTGGACTTATGTCCATGTATTTTCAAAAATTATTTCTTAATCAAATTTTGATTAACTTAACAATACCTTGACATTTTTGTGAGAAGACTAAAAGTCAATAAATCTCATTCGAACTATTTTGCCATTTTGGCTTTTACCTTTAAAAACTTTTCTCAAAAGATTAGACTCTTGTCAATCCTTGTAGTGATGCAAATAACTATACTTCTACAATATGTAGTGAAGTGAGATATTTTCTACTTGGGTGTTGAGTGAGGCATTGTTGATTTTAAAATCCAAGCGATATCCTCCACTTTGAGATGACGCAAATTCTTCTTTCTCATAATTGTGGGTAGTAAGTAAGTTTTCCACACGGACAATGACAATGATGTCTTGTCTCTTAAAATTAACCAACACGCTTTTGTTTTTTAAAAAAAATACTTTTAAAGAGGAACTACGTGTACCCTAATCATCTTTCTGAAAAGTTTGAAAGAAAAGCCCGAAGGCACAAAAGAGTTTGTATTGGTTAATATCTTTTACCTTAAAGAAGTATTTGGAAGTTGTTAGATGTTTTAATATTTTTCCAAGAAAGAGAAAGTTTTTGTTTTAAATTCAAAGATACAAAGGAAAAGAAAACATCTAAGGGAGACTAACCTAAATCTATCCCTAATGTTATCATACAATGATTGATCCTAAGGTTGAGTTTTGAAGGGAAATCTCTACCCTATGTCGACATGCTTGGATAAAAATCCTAATGTCTATCTCAAATCATCATATATAGATGAATCAAGAAGTCCTAAAGGAGCATAGCAAGGGTCTATCACATAAAACTATGTCTATCTCGAATCATCATCTATAGTTGAATCGAGAGCTCCTAAGGGAACATGCAGAGGGTATATCATCTGAAAACATGCACACAAAGACAAAGTCAAGTAAGCAAGCCAACAAGCTCAAGGGAGCACACCTAGAGAGATCCTATATAGACTAGAATGCCAAATAAAGTCTAACAAAACTATCCTATAGGGAACATGCAATGAGAGCGAAGTCGTGATCTCAATTTCTAAATTGAGTGACTCATCGATCAACAAGAAATAAAGGAAAGCAATAAAATCCTATGGGGAGCATGCACTAAGAGCGAAGTCGTGATCTCAATTTCTAAATTGAGTGACTCATCGATCAATAACCAAGAAAACAAACACAAGCACAACACATATAGCAAATGAAGTGCGAAATGCCTGCTACAGGTCTTTAAACAACGACTTCGAGCGCACACTATTTATTTCCTACTTCTCATGATATCTAGAAAGTAGTAAAGTGCTGAAATGAGATAAACAAGGGAAAATACCAAACAAACAAAAGTTCGTAGCATGGCGGGAAAAATAGAGAAACCCGGAAAATTTCGAGTAAACTTCACCAAGCAAAGAAAAGAGTCAGAAATCAAATGCTCAGGATAAGTGTTGAAGTATCACCGATGTGAAAATAAATCACAATCGAAATCTCAAGCGCATTCGTATATCGCACAATAAACCAGCATAAGACTCAAATCTCAACAAGCAAAGGTGAATTACAAATCTTAAATAATTGGATAATTCTAACTTAATCCCTAAAAATATCTCCTAAAATCTAATATTTTTTTATTAATATTTTCGTTACATCAATATTTTATGAACAAAATTGTTATCTAACAAATTATGAAAAGAAAAAGCTAAAGAAAAACTAATTTTTTTTTACACAGGAGGGTGTGAGTCTAGAAACAAGTGGTGCTGTAGCAGCAAATAGACGCTGAGCCCAAGAAGTGACCCAGTAGATCTGTTTTTGTGTGTAGATTAATCCACTTGTACAAAAAAGTCCACGAGCTTGTTGCAAACATGATTCAAACTAAGGCCCATTCAATCACCCATCCAAAGCAAATAGCCATGCTGACTGTTCCATATTTACCAACACTTGAAATATCAATAACAATAATATACAAAGGGAAAGATGATAAACGATGCGCTTTTCTTGAGAGGATAGGGTTCAAGTCATCATGGCCTCTCATTTTCTGCGTAACTCCTTCTCCACTCTCGCGAACGACGCGACTGGATTCTTCTCAACCTTCTTCAATGGCGTGTTCAACCATCTGCCACTGTCTCAAATTCCATTGATGATTTAGTTCCCAACACAACACCGCCATCTTGATTAATACCTCCTTTTACTCGCTCGGAGGAGCCGAACCCTCTCTGTCTAATCGGTCGATCAATTCCGACGTTACCCCATCATAGACGAAGGTGTCTCACCCCTAATTCCTCGAATATTTCTTCACTTCAACGCTAGGGCAGTGGATGAGATACGGCTGGAGCCTCAATCGGACATCCTAGGTGAAGGATTCCACAGTTCTAATGGTGGTATCAATAGGTAGAAGAAGAAATGTATGCTAACGATGAAACATTAATTTGAAAGTTCAGAGGGTTTACCGATCGGAGTCCGTCCGATGCGGCTTTAATGGCGGCTATGATGAGAGAAAACCAGCGGGAGCTTTGGGATTCAGGTATGCTTCTTATCAGGTTCTTGCTATTACTCTTCGTTCTTCTTCTTCTATAAATTTCTTCTACCCGTATTATTACGTTATGTCCCATGCGATGAAGTTGTAGAGGTTCTAAATTTTGTTGGTGTGCGTTATGAAGCAGGTGAAGATGAAGGTGCAGTTGTTAAGGATTGAAGTTGACAAAGGTTGCTGCAGGAAGAGGATGATGAAGTGTTGTGGCTGTTGAGGGAGTATTGAGAGAATTTGAGATGGAGAAATGATGAAGGTTGGTGATGATTGAAGGTGTAGAGAGTTGAGAGATCAAGGAAGATGAAGTGCTGAGCCAGAGAGAGAAAATTGAGATCTTCTGGTGAGTTTTTCTATTTTTCTGTTATTCCTTTTCTGGGTGAATCAATCGTGAATCCCCCTTCCTTTCTGTTACAGTTTGTTATATCCTTTTTTCTTTTTCTGTTGAGAAGTTGTTAGAAGTTGGTTGAAAGTTTTTTGGACTGTTAAAGGTTGATGGAGGTTAGCAATTCTGTTTTGGGAGTTATGAAAGGGGTTAAGGGTAGTTATGATTAGAATTTGTAGGCAGTTATAGAAGTTAGTTAGAGGGCAGTTGAGAGTTAGGAGAGTGAGTTTTTTCTAGTTTTTGCAATCGTGAATTTCTCCTCTCTCTTTTGTATTCTGTCAATCTGAGTGTTACAGAATCAGTTAAGGGGTTATATAATTCTGTTAGCGGTTTGTGTCTGTTATAGGATTGGTTAGAAGCAATTAGGTGAGCTGGATTTTTGTTAATTCTCTTGGAAGTTGTTGATTTTCTGTTATGAGTCAGTCGAGTTAAATTTTTTTTTTATGACAGTTAGAGATGGTTTGAAGCTATGATGCAGGGTGCAATTTGTTTTCTCTTAATCTCATGATGACATTGGTTGATTTCTATTTACAGGGCAGCTAGTACGTTACCTTACGATATGCTGAAGCTTGGCATGAATACACTAGAGACGAAGTCTAGACATTAGATCTAGGATAGAATAGGCTTTCATGTGAACTAACTTGATTGTGCAGGGCCAGGATTTTGTTCGTGAAGCTTGTCTGAATTCTGTTCTTTTAGAATAGGCAGAAATTTGAACTGGATCAATTTTATTTTACAGACCCGGTACAAAGGCATAGAGGCAGAAATATTGAAGTTCACACATGGCAGCAATATTGAAGATGATCAAGAGGAGATGAACTTAGAAGACCCAAATAGCATACTTTTAGGAACCACTAGGCAAAGATTAATTTTTTGTATGATATTTTTGTAGAGATGATGAGTTAATCTAATGACTTGAAGCATTATAGCATATTTTGTAATGACTTTTTTTTGTTCAAGGCTTCCATGGACAATTGTGAATGAAACTGTTTTGAAACTTTGAATGTGTAATGAATGATAACACGAAAAGGCCTCATATTTTGAATTGATTCTTAAGAATATTGAAATTTATATGATAAGCAAACTTGAATCGTGATACACATACTTTTGGAATTTCCACTTAAAATCCTGTCCTAAAAATGCTTGAAAACCTTGAATGATATTTCATTTTTGTCAACTTGAAATCAATGGTCTTGAACTTGGAATTTTGAACCTTGAACCAATTGGAACCTGAGTCTTCCACTTGAAATCGAAAGTGATATCATGCCTTGAATAATGTTTGAAATGTTGTATTATTTTGCCTTGGTAGCTTAAATTTCAAGAAATCAACCATGGATGGATCTTCCAATTTGCATGCTTAATTAATGCACCTCAATCTCAATTGAAACCATAAGTCCAAATTGACTTGTGAAGAAATCCACATGAACTTTCTTCTAATACTAGCATGAATCACTTCTTGGCACAACATGTGCTTGAGAACCTTAACTAATATTGAGACCATGCCTTATAACCTTTGCATTTACTTATACCTTGCATTACAGGAAACACTTAGGACACTTGCACCTTAAGAAACTTGAATGGATACTTCCCTAATCAAATCTTCAATTCCCCCTAAAACTTTAACTTGCATTACAAGTAATAACAACTCGAGAGAACAATAATCCCTCGAGGAATCCTTTGAAGATGAATATGGAACTTGAGACATGGGAGGAATAACTGCCAAGATAGCCTTAACATGTAAATCCAATGAACCCCAGTTGATGAGTTAACACACTTAATTGCCACGCATAAGAACTACAATTTTCTTAAGATGCACTATGATGAAAATGGCTTTGTCTCTTACCTTGAGGAAGATATCCTTGTAGCTTGATAAGGAATAGATCCATAATAACCATCAATCAAAACCCTAAATTCACAATTCAATGTACAAAGAAGAACCATAAGAATCAGTCTTGTTTGATAAACACCTTGAACCAAAAGAAAACCCTAGCTTCACAACCAATGATCCTCTGAACCATGATTCAACAAAACTTGAATTGGTTAATTGAAGAGTGGATGAATGCCATGTCATAGTTATTAATCCTGATTAAATGATAAGCACACTTATATGATGAAATGTCTTGATTCAAAGACCATGTATGCTAGGTCACGCCCTTGAGTTCTTGACAAGAAAAACCTGCAACCTTTTGTTCATCAGAAGATAATAACCTTGTGGCTTGATGGAGAAGAAGTCCAAAAATGAGCATGAACCAAAACCATAATTCCACAACCTTGTACACCAAGAAGACCCGGAATAATCAATCTTATTCAACATATACACCTCAAATCAGCTATAAACCATAGCTTCATAACTGGTGATCTTTTGAACCTCAGGTGCTCCATCTTTTATGAAAAGGCATGCTATACACATGACCTATTAGAATGATCCAGATGAATGCAAAGTCTAAGCCATAGTAAACGAAATTAGGAGGGAAAATTTTGGGGTGCAACAGTTGTTATATCAAAATATATGGTTTTTTCATCATCAAAAAGGGGGAGATTGTAAGAACAAGAAGTGTTCTACATCTGGCCTTAAGATTTTGATGATAACTTAACATATTATCTTTAAGAACAATTGTATACTCTAATGGTATGTTCTAGTGTGTAGTTGCCGCTATAATGTTCTGACTCTGGTATCAAGGCGTGTGACATCATCAGGTTTTGAACATACACTGCTGGAAGAAAACATGTGGTTACGTGTTATAGTTGAAGTCAAGATTTTGAATACGTCTTATGCAATGTGTCTTAGGAACGTTAGTATAAGAGGTTCTAATTATGACTTTATGGTTAAGCTTTGGAGGCCTTCTAAAGCTTTACTTCTGTGTTACAAGTTCCGAAGATTATAAAGACGAGGTTCTTTTGAACAAGTTCTGATGATCTGAAGACAAGCAAGTTATTACAACCAAGTGCTGAAAACTCTAAAGACAAGGTTCTGATAGGACAAGGTCTGAAGACTCCAAGACTTAGGTTCTAAGACTTAAGAGTGATTCTTCTACAACAAGCTTCAACATTCAAATTATCTGAATCCTCTGAAGATAAGAAGAAGTTCTAAATGGTTAACGTGTGATGGTGTACAAAAGGTACATAAAGTGTATGTGACCTCTACTCTCTAGGGTGGCGTAAGGACAATCCTTTTTTGTACCATACTGTGACCACTCTCATTATGACCATTGAGAACAAACAGCCGGGTTTCTGATTACCTTCTACCCTTTCAATGAATCTCTTTTACAAGATATAAAAGGAAGACTTAGAAGCTGAAGAAAAGTAAGAATAAACATTACACAAAATATATCGGATTAAATCAAGCTCAAGCAAAACTACACAAAGCATTGTGCAAACTCTTTAGAGAAAATCTTATGTGTATAGTTTTGTAAATAGGCAAGGAGTTGTTGCTCGTATCTTGCTATAAAGCACTTAGGTGTTTTATTTATACTGAAACGTCTGTGTAATCTGCTTACAAGAAGCAAATATGTAATACATTGAAAGTATTCAACTGTTGTTGGTTGATACTTTGAGAGACTGAGTGAAGGTCTGATCTCAATAAGGCTCCTATTGCAGCTTGAGTGGATTTGCAATAAGGATCGAATAATTTATTGGGGGTGCCAATAAGGTTGATTTGACTTATTGTAGGTTATTTGTAATCAGTTTGGTTATAGTGGATTAAGTCCTTGTTGAAGGCGAAATCACCTTGAGGGGTGGACTGGAGTAGCTTCGTTAACAGTGAACCAAGATAAAAATAATCGTGTTCATTTATTTTTATGTTCTAGGTTAACTTGGTCTTTCATCATAGAAAAGAATTCAAAATTATTTTTGGTGAAACTCAATTCAAACCCCCTTTCTTGTGTTTTTCACACCTTCAGAGATATCATGAAGACTGCGTTTAGAACTCGATACAGCCACTATGAGCACTCAGTGATGTCGTTAGGTGTGTCTAATGTCCCATGAATGTTGATGGAATATATGAATAAAATCTTCCATCCTTACTTGGACAAATTTGTTATTGTGTTCATTAATGTCATTTTGGTGTATTTTAAGTTAGATGAAGATCATGAAAGGAATCTGTGAGTTATGTTGGAGGTTTTGTGAGAGAAGCAATTGTATGCCAAATTGTCTAAGTGTGAGTTCTGGTTGCAAGAAGTTATTTTTCTAGGTCACATGATTTCCAATGGTGGTATCAGAGTTGATCCGTCTAAGGTAGACATAGTGTTGCAGTGGGAGACTCCTAAGTCAGTTACTGAGATTCTAAGTTTTATGGGTTTGGATGGTTACTCTGAAGATTTATTGAATGATTTTCAAAGTTATTGTTGCCATTGATTCAGTTGACTCGAAAGGGTCAAGCTTTTGTATGGAGTGTTTAGTGCGAGGAGAGTTTCCAAGAGTTGAAGAAGAAGTTGATGTTGGTGCATATTTTGATTTTTACAGATGCAAAGGAATCTTTTTTTGTGTGTATTGTTATGCATCTAAGATGGGCTTAGGTGGTGTGCTTATGCATAATGGTAAGGTTATACCTTATGCTTCGAGATAGATGAATGTTCATGAAAGAAATTATTCTACCCATGATTTGGAGTTGGTTGTTGTAGTATTTATGCTTAAGGTTTGGAAGCACTATTTGCATGGTTCGAGGTATTCAATAATCCTAAGAATATGAGATATCTATTTTATCAGAAAGAACTGAGTACGAGGAAGAAAATGTGGCTTTGATATTTGAAGGACTAAGATTTTGAGTTGAGTTTCCATCCAGGTAAAGCTAATGTAGTTGAAGATGCGATGATCACAAAGTCCTTGCATATGTCGGCATTAATGGTTAGAGAATTAAATTTGATTGAGAAATTCAGAGGCCTTAGCTTGGTGTGTGAGGTGACTTCTAATAGTGTGAAGTTGGGTATCCTAAGGCTGACTGAAGACATTCTGTCATTATATATATTCAGTTGTTGAAATAGATAAAAATTGAGCCAAAGATCACTTAATTTGATGAAGAATAGCCCAAGAACGAAGCAAAACAAATAAAGAATGAGGAAATAGAGACTCAAGGAAAATCTGGTTGAAAAAGGACAAAATGTGTTTCAGTCCATGGAATAATCACACAAGCATCACGCGTAATGGGATTGGATAAGTTGCATCACGCGCGATGCAGGCTATCGTGTGTGGGATGTGTCCTTTTTCTGGGCAAGTTCTGACGCGCTCTGGTACTTTCTTACAACTTTAAAAAGGGATTTTTGGCACTTTTTCAAGGGTTCGATGATTTTACACTGCAAGTATGAAATTTATTGGTATTGGGAAGGCATATTGGGAGCGCATTTGGAGCCATTGGAGGCTAGTTCTTCAAGGGGTACTTTATGCAACCCTCATATAACTTATTGGTATTGTAATTTTAATTATGAGTAGCTAAATTATCATATGTTAGGTTTTGTTTTGTTGAACCTTTTTTAGTACTGTTGGAACACATGTTTGATTTGATATTTCATAATTTATTGAAGTTATTATTTTATTCAATTTCACCTTGTTCTTAATGCTTTTTATGTGAGATACTCTTTTAATCTGATTTTTGACGCATAGAGAACACCGACC